TAGTGTTCCTTCTTTCTTAAATTTCATAACATTTATAAGCGCTTTTTTTCAACCTAATTAATTAATGTTGGTAAATTATAGTAAGTAATTTTTTGGTTCTACTTACTAGCATTTTGCTATATAAATTTTTGCTAACATTATGCACTAACCGATTTGCTGCCATTACTATTGTCAAATTGTTAATGCAATATTTAAGTTACAATATACACTATAGAAGTATATAATAGTTTAACTAAATCAGATAGTTTCATGTTTCTATACTTACGTACTTAACGAACGTCGAGCATTAAAAGCTCTTGGTAAATGGTATTATTGATTGAAAAGCTGTAAGTTTATTTTCAACCCACGTAATTCGATCAGAGAGATACTTCTATATGCAAAACCTATTCGTCTTCAAAATATACACACATTTTAAAATAGATAAAATAATAAGAAATAGTTTAAAATGTCGAACTTTAAACTTTCATCGTACCTACCTATTATACAATTAATATGACTTTCCATTAAAATTACTTTTATTATTATTAATATATAGGTGGAACACTTATGAGGAATCTTGTATTACATTTTCAAATATAAAATATAAAAACAAAATTTTAAAAATAATAAATAATTTGCAAACTTTTGAGATTTTGATAAATTTTATAAAAAATCTAACTTTAAATGCTTAATACATCATATTGTCATTTGTCACTATGTATTTTCGATATTTTTTAGACGGTGTATATATATACTATATACATAAACGACCTACAAGGAACCTTGTGTTAATTTTCATTTTTTTTCAAACTTTTTTGACACAAAAAACATTTTTTTATCTAAATTTAAACAAGGGAAAACTGAAAAAAAAACAATAATTTTAAATGTCTATATCTAAATATAGCCGTAAAACAGTCAAAATAGACTGAAAATATTATCATGTATAAGAAATGCTAGAAGAAATGCTAGTATAAACATTGAGTGTAAAACTCGAGTATCTTCAGTTTTTTATTTTCGAATTATACCAAAAAAACAATTTCAATTTTGTCAAAAACTAGTTTTATGTAAAAATTCCTGTTAATCTTTTATTTTTTTCCTCTCCCGATCATTTAAAAAGAAGGTACCTCCCATGAAAGTTTAATTATGATCTCTTTAATGTAACAACTAGCTCTAATATTTTAACAAAAATTACCTCTAAACCTCTTCATYTATAGAGACATAAAAAACACATGTATYATTGTAAAATTAATACATTTATCGTTCTGCTCAGAATTTAAAATCGAACAGTGTTAAAACATAAACGGTATTATWATAAAGAATGGGATGGGAGGGGGTTAAGATGCTGTGCATTCACTTCGAATATTTTCTTATATATCATTAAAAAAAGATAATCTATAAAATAAAAACCAGTTCATAGTTAAAAGTTAATAGGTACTAAATAACTATATTACTTAAG